GGGCTGCTGGGTGGGTGGGTGGGAAATATTATGTATTTGTTACATGTAGTTTTCTCATTATTTATGAAACTTAACCATAAGAGAATGATATAACTCCTATGCAGTGAAGGTGATAAAAATGAAAGACAACAGGGGAAACTAATGCTGGATGATGTTTATGAAGATCAGTCCCATATACCTCTTTCAGGAGTCAATTTGCACCAGTTTGACTTTTTCTTTTCTTTCATTTTAATTTTAAGCCAAAGTTTTTCATTACTAACTTTTTAAGTTGCTGCTCCTTTAGAGTCCTGAGTGTATCTCTCATAACAAGGCATCCCGTACTTCCACACCACCAGTTGAAATTCATATGAAAGATTCTGATACTTTTTTTTAAGGAACAGATGTGGAATATATTTTCCCATATTCCAGCCATAACAACTGAAGTTACACTTTATTATGCTTCAGCATGTAGGGTAATTGTAGTGTGACCTTTACTAACTCTGAATTAAAAGATAGAGCTGTTTCAGAGACTCTCTACATCCTCATTAGAAAGTTTTTCTTCTGGACTCACCCACTTTAGCCAGAATTTGATCAAATTAAAAGTCTTGGGGAAACCATATGTTTGAGCACATGGAACAAATGATTCTTCCTCCTTCACATTACAGTGATACAACAGACCTTGGCAGCTATTTCTCCCATCAGTTTTAAAGGATGAACATTGGATTTCATGCCCTCCCATGATAGAAAACCAGCTTTTAAAAATTTGGGGGTCTAAACTTGTTCATACATAAAAAGTATATTTCTTAGAAATTTTAGACAATTGTGGTCTATACGAAATACGTGTTTTCATTTCTTTGTTTCATATCTTTCTTTTGTTTCTAAGTGATAAAACCTATAAGGGATTTTACTTTCTTGAATATGGTTGGCATTAACTTTACCTTTTCCTGGTATTTATATTATCTTTGTTAATGAAATGCTGAAGTGTATTTTAATGCCTCCCACAAGACCCAGATGAAAAATTCCAGAGTCAACCTCAGTAGATTCATAAAAATAAATTTACTTCTATCTTTTTCAGCTTAATTTTAGACAAAAGAATAAATAAGTAGAAGAGCAGCTATTATCACTTGCTTGGTCTTAAAAATATATGGTTACTGCCCTTTAATATACCCCATTGTCATCAGCTCTTCTCCATGTGTCGTAAATCTTTACTCATCCCTGTCGTAATTCCAGATTATATTAAAGTTACTGTTATTACCAGAATTCCATCAACTAACTGAAAAATGGTTTATTTGTAAAGACGTTTCTTCTTCCTCTATTCTGAAAAACTTCCAAAATTTGTTCCCTTTCTGCATCGAGATATTTTTTCTCTGAAAAATCATACAACTTTGTGGCTTCTATTGTTTTTTTGTGTTTTGTCAAGCATGTGCCTTGGCCCAGAACTGAAGAGGAAACGTTTAATTACTGGGTTTTTTTTTTTTTCTTAGTTTAAATAAATTGAATCATTTATACTAATCAGTGGTAACAATTTAGTGACCCTTTGTAGATTAAATGTTGCATTATTTATACTTGGGATTTTCTCCCCTAGCTATTTTGGTTTTTGTACTTTAAAACTATGGGGGAAATACCACTGGTCTGTCAAGAAATAGCAGTAATTATTAAAGAGTTATGTAGAGAAGTTCAGTGGACCAGTCATTTCTTGTACAAATAAAATTGGTGGTACTAATGTGTCCAGAGCCATTTGAATTGTCATCTTCATTCTCTATTAGTAAATCCACACAATGATACACATAAAATCTTACAGTTGACTTCTAGTATTTGAATTCCCCAGTGTTTTTACTTCAGTGTATCCTATGGCCAGTTTGGTCTTTCTTCAACTTTTATGGTTCTAAGCCCTAATCATTATTATTTTTTCATAGATTGTACAATGGTAAAATGTATTCTTTTTCTAATATGTTTGTCCTATTGGTATAGTCTATTCAAAAATAAGGCTTATGTAACTTTCAGCTTACCATGCCAGATGCTTATATATGTATTTAAACTCATTTTTTTCCTTCAAAAAAGGCAATGTGCATTTTTCTCTGCTAAATTTTATATGCCCTAGCAGTTGCAAATGCTTTATCTTACCTAAAATTTTATTGGAGACTCCTATACCCTGAAACTCTGAATAGAGCTCTTAGAAACGAATATCACAGAGTCATTTTAAAGGAGCAGCAATCTAATCAAGGGTAAAACTTCATCTTATTTTAGGTTTAGAAATTTTAGTTTTACTTTTATTTGAAAATCACTCCATTTTTAACATCAGTTAAAGTACTCCCAAAATGGGGCCGGCCCGGTGGCGCACTGCTACAGTGCGCTGCTTGGGAGTGCGGTGGTGCTCCCGCCGAGG